GACGAATCATACTATCTGTTCCTGTGAAATAAAAGAAAAGTTGCGAGCTCCTTTGCTCTAAAAACTCACCTAAACACTACACATAGATCTGTAGCCAGTTAGAAATTGGGCGCATAGATGGAGTATAAGGTAACATAGTAATCATTACATTTTTAGCCGATATGTACCAAGGTGAGCTAACTTGCCTGCATCAGCTGAATATTCTGTTAAGGTCTATATACTAAGCAGCGACTTAATACAACAGAGCTCTTCTGGGCCCAGTGCTGACAGCCTGTGTGTCTCTCATCCGTACGCCGGCGACCGGCCACTCCCGCAGAAATAAGCCAGAACGACACGTGGCCTTAATACCGAGAGATGACTGAGTATAACAGCCAGCGTCGGCCGGGATGTGATGGAGACAACAGGGACTGACTTCAGTGGGAAAGACAGACATCTCAAATGAACCAGAGAAGCAAACGTTCTTCCAGATGTTATCCTTCTACAGTGTTCCCCACACCATACCTTACACCATCTTGCCACTCTTTGTGTGCCAGTGCATTGTCCATTCTGTGCTGGGCATCTAGAACATTCTGTACTTTGCCAGTCAACATATCGACTACATGCACAGCTGCCCCCCCCCCCCATCTGCACTCATTCAGCTGAGAACCTCCTACACGCTGCAAGCCGAATAACAAACTGGATGGTATTTAAGCATCTTACTTCACTGGCAGTATATAATGTAAGTATAAGTAATGGCACAGTTAGAAAGTAAAGACATTTTCTTAAGCGATGCAAAGTCCCCGGTTTAAAACAGTACTAATACACACTTACAGTAAATGCACCACCCACAGCTTTGAAAAACTGATCTAACAGATCCCGACAGCTGAAAGAAAACTAAAACAAAACCGAGTTCAGCAGAGTGACCATCTCACTGTGAACCTGTGGTCTCCAACGCCCCCTGAAGAGCTGATCGATGTGAAGTATTTGCTCCGTCTTTCTCTCAGCGTAGCTAAGTCATTCAGACACCAGCTGGACAGTATTCTGACCAAGGGGGCATCTTTCCAGCAAGGACGAGCCGAGGAACCACAAACACTGAAGGCAT